TCATCGTGTTGTGGTTTCATCGTGTTGTGGTTTCATCTTGTTGTGGTTTCATCGTGTTGTGGTTTCATCGTGTTGTGGTTTCATCGTGTTGTGGTTTCATTGTGTTGTGGTTTCATCTTGTTGTGGTTTCATCTTGTGGTTTCATCGTCTCGTGGTTTCATCGTGTTGTGGTTTCATCGTGTTGTGGTTTCATCGCGTTGTGGTTTCATCGTGTTGTGGTTTCATCGTGTTGTGGTTTCATCGTGTTGTGGTTTCATCGCGTTGTGGTTTCATCGTGTTGTGGTTCTGATCAGATCAAAGCTGCTGCTCAGCGGCGCTTGGCGTCATTAAAGCTGCAGGTCGGCGTCTCTTTGAAGGCTTTGTGCCCTTTAATGTTCATCTGCAGCCGTGCAGCTTCAACTGGGAATAATGCGACGCTCCACTTCCTGTCGCTCACAGTTTGTTCCAGTTTATTTCACATACACTGTAAATAAATAATGTTGTGTTTTCTGCATTATTTACCTCCAGATATCCCAGAAGAAGAAGCCCAGTATTGGACAGGGAAGCTGGAGCGAATCAACATGGGAATCCATGATGAGGTAAAGTTCAGATAAATTCAACTTCAGATGAATTTGGTGGATTTGTTTTTTAGTTACCGACTGAATCCATGAAAACAATCGATCCCTCTTCATCACCTTCTGCAAATTTGTTTTTTTGTGTAAAATATGCAAATTGGTTACTAAGGAGCATCTGTTTCAATTTGCAATGAGAAAATACAACAAAAACATTTTAAATAGTTATTGTTGCAAACACTTTCTCCTTCCACTCAACTTTCCATTACAGTGTTTTGTTGTAAATATTGACAGATGTAGCCCTATCTCTGGTTGCTTTTGAAGCAACGCTGACTGTATCTGTGTCCGGATAACTTTCTGTGAATACAGTTGGATAATATTAATGACATTGAAGCATATTTTTTTGGTTGCATTTGTCCATGATGGCTTTCAGAACATTAAATCCAGCCACAATAAGTGGCAACAACACTTTTTCCATCCTCTTAACTTTCTAATAATATTATTTTGATGATATTAAAGTTAGTGAGATGCATCTTTAACTTCTGGAAACTTCTGAAACTTTTTAAATAATACTAAAAAAGTCGTTACAACCCTGCCTGATGTTTGGTTCTCTGCTTTCCTGTAGTTTCCTCTTCCAGATGAGGACCAGAGGGCTCCGCTGCAGTGTGCACCCTCCCAGTGTTGTGAGTTCCCTCTGTTCTCCTTTCAGCCACTAGAGGGCGTCAGATCATTTATTTTGAGCTTGGTTCTGCTGCTTGCTGTAATTTTTTACCAGAACCAATTAAACCTTTTTTATTACAGCTGTTCAGGTTAATGATGTGGAGAACTTTTTTTTGTTTTGTTTTGGACTGAACTCTCATTTGTAATGTTTCACCAGGCAACTATTTCGGCTGGCCTGACCCACTGAGTATGTAACATAACTTAATGGATCTCTTCCCCTGGCCGACCCTCAACCCTTTGTGCATATCATAGTATTCCTGAAATAAATGTCACCTACAATGTTTCCATTCATTTTCTTCATGTTTTGCAGTCGGATACATTTTTTCCTGATGTTTTCCTTGATGCCCACTGGCCCTTTCATTTCCCACCAAACTCTTTCTGCTGGATTATTATGTAAAATCAGTTTTACTATGAAAACTTTTGACATTAAATGTTAGAACTGAAATATTTTGAGCCTTTTGGAGGGAATGCTTTCCTGAAAGACTTCTCCTCTACAGACGGTGAGAAAATAAGAGATGCACCGATTCAAAAGGGCCAAGAAACGAACTCAATAGGAAAATTCAACTGCAGTACCACTTGTCCACCCAAAGAGGGCAGCACTGAGATGGTTTTAGCCCAGAATATTGCAGAAAAAAATTACACAAAAATGTTCAAATTTTAATAGAAATCTGCACAGAAACATAAAGATAACACCCTTAAAGACCAATTTATAAGGAAAATAATTTTAATTGGGGATTAGTTGCACTTAAAGAATGATTAAAATGTTTAAAATCTGAGGGATTCTCGTGTTTGTGGCAGGAAAATTTCTGCTTTCAGATTATGTTCTCCTTGCAGCCATCTGAGGACAGCAGGACGGATCTGTAATAACTTTACTGCCTCTAATTAAAAAGAGGGCGATGTCTTATTGTGGTTTCTCTCTGTTTGCCCAGATTGAATCACTTACACATCACACTACGCTGCTCCTTAGTAACCATTCACAGCCCCACTACAATCCAGCTGCTCATTTAGCAGCAATGTTGCTCCTAAATCCTGTTTGTGGTTTGAATCAGATTAAATTTACTGTTATATTTACTGTTGCCTGTTTAAATCTTATTTTATCTGTCAAATCAAAGCAGTTTTTATTTGTTTACTGCATTAATGTCTCCATCCATTTTTTTTTTCAGAAATTGAGGCTAAATAAACAGGCCCCATCCCTTTTTTATACTAATTCATAATTGTGGGTTTATTCCAAATTTTCCGCAAAAATAATCAAAACTATTGGGTTTAAGTGATGCTAACTCCCACCAGCAGGTGGCAGTGTTTCTTCTACTACTTTACTGCCTCTGCCTTGTTTCATGTCAAGTTGTCGTCTGTGATCGATGTGACGAGTAACAAAAAGTCACATTTACCATCTTACATAAGCACAAACATTGCAAAATTCCTCACCTAGCAACCCCAGCAAAGCCCAGCTGTTACCTAGCAACCCCGGAGGAATTCTGCTCGTCACCTAGCAACGCAAATACAAAATCTTATTTTTATCAAATTGTTGTCCAGTTTCTAATGTAAATATCTTAGTTCATTTGAAATAAAACAAAACTAATTTACAAGTAACTTTTCAGCAAGACAAAGGAGCTTGTTTTAAATAAATAATTCATTAATATAATAAAAAAATCTAAAAAGTATGAGTTCCACTGGCAGATTATTTCACTTAACACATGGGGAAAATGTCTTACAATAAGTGAAATAATCTGCCAGTGTAAAAAGTACTTTTCTTTCAATAATAATAAGGAATTACTGACTTAAAACAAACTCTTATATCTTGTTGAAAAGTTATTTGTAAGTTAGTTTTTTTTACTTCAAGTGAACTATTTTCACTCTGAACAAAAATACTTGGTAAGGTTTTTGCATTCCTGTTGGTTATGCAGGATTCCCCCCTTCTACTTGTATAACTGCTCGTCTTTTAGCAGCCATTTTCACATAATCGCTGCGTTGGGGGCGTGGCCAGCAGCAGTTTATCTGGATTTAAAGTGACAGAACCCAGAAAACGGCTCATTCTGAAATGAGCAGACTAAATCTCATTATCTAAGAAGGATTTTGTGTAAAAAGAAATGCAATGAACATCTTTTGTAATGCCTGACAGACCTATCCTAACCTGTTCAAGGAAGCATAATAATTTAAACATTTAAAGGTAATAGGTCGTCTTAGTTTTATTGATCGGACCTTCCTGCTGCAGCTTTGGACGACCAGGACAGCGCCGTAGACGACCGGGACAGCGACTACCGCAGCGAGACCAGCAACAGTTTGCCGCCTCGGTACCACACCACGGCCCAGCCCAACTCGTCCGTGCACCAGTTCCCCATGGGGCCCCGCGGCGCCCAGCTGCAGCAGCCAGACTGCTGCACCGACTCGGTCCACAGCTTGGACCTGGACTACCGGGACCAGAGGGGAAGCAGGTAGAGCCGAGCATAAAAACACTCATTAAAAACACAAAGTATCTTTTATATGAAGCTTGTTTTACGTCAATAATTCCTTAACATTGATAAAAACTTACTATCAATATGTTTTACCTAATCTTCAGGTGGTGGGACTACATTTTATGTACCAAATGTCTGTTTTCTTAATTAAAAATGAATTTATTTGATTATCTGCATATTTTAATATATTTCTAATATTGTATAAAAACACTTCAGTGATTAAATGAAAAATTTATAGACTGTCAATTTTTTATATGATCTTGAGAATAATTGATTAATCAATTACTAAAACAATCGTTAGTTGCAGCCCTACTTTTCGTTAATATAATTTGAAACAGCAGCTTTACTAATGACATTTTCACTGTTTGGTGAAAATGTAAAAGTTCTGCCTTAAGTTGTTGCCATTAATATATTTTATTTTTGAGAAACTGAATTGTGACTTTTTATTAAATATGTAGTAAAAATCAGATTTAAATATTTTTTGAAATACATCACTTTTTATGTAATTTATCTGTATAAAATAAAACTTTTCAATTATATTCTAAATTATCAAGATGCAACTTTGATCCCTTAAGATTGGTTTCACTTTTAAATCGGCTGAAATGGCATCGTCCTTTTTTAATTTGGAAAGATTACTGAACGATATTATGTGGTAACATTAAAATTATTTTAAAAACCAAACAATTTTCAAGGGAAACTTTGAATATGCAGTTTTTAGACCATAGAGAAAAGCCGTTGGTGCTTTAGATTCATTTGCACCAATGAGAACGTAACAAATCTGTCTGCGCTTCCTGATAGCGAGCTGCTAATTCTGCTGCAGGAAAGAATAAAAAATGGGATTCCAGCCCTTTGTTAAATTTTGTCAAAGAATCTGTTGTGTTGCTTCGACTCCATGGGAGTTTGAAAAGCTTTCGAAAGAGGAAACCTCTCTGTGACGCTCCCACAGGGAGCGGGTCAGGGACTGAATCAGGCTGCTCTCTTTGGGGATTATAAACTTCTGAACCAAATGCCGTATGCTGGTGATTTACGGTTTAGAGCTGCTAACTGTGACATTTGTCCAGGCTAAATCTAAATTTGTTCAGGCTTAGACAAACATGGTGACACAGTCTGTTACAACACAAAAACAGAATGATAAGCCCTGCAAAATGCACAAAGAGGTGTAAATATGTAAATATCAGACCCTCCAGGATGTTGTGATGCTTTTTTTTTTTTTTTTGCAATTGTTACGGCAAAAAAAAAATTGCTGATTTTGCAGCACCTTTAGTTGGAATTGCACATTTTAAGTTTTACTATTTTTGTCTCTTTGTTTCCTGAACCTGTCATCCTGCTGCTGATCTAATGTTTCTTTGCTTTTTCTAATGATTTATTTTCAGTATCTAGAAAACAACAGTGAGAACAACTTTTGTGCAGAAATTAACGAGGACTTGGTTTATTCAAGCTTTAACTAGCAAGAGATGAAAAATAGGTAATAGCAACATCATTGGTATTCTTGTTAACAAGCTTAATATGATATGCTGGCATGGATTAATCATCATTTAGCTAACATCTGCATCGAGCAGCTCACTGTAAAAACATAATATCTTATTTTTGTATAATTTGAAGGGTAATAACTTAAAAACAACTTTTCCAGCAAGATACTGAAACTTGTTTTAAGTAAATAATACTTTAATATTGATTTTTAAAATATTTCCCAGTACTAGTACTTTTTATCAATATTAAGGAATTATTAACTTTAAGCTGTGGAAAAGTTACTTATAAATGAGTTTTGTCTCATTTCAAGAGAACTAAAATACTTGTACTAGAAACTAGACCAAAAATTATGCATATTCTGCGATTTCAGTAAAACATCACGCAACTTACTTGGTTTGTTTGGAGGAAAACTGCAAAGTTTTTTGCATTTGTCACACAAACTTTCATCTTTCGAGTTTGGAGTCTGTGAAACAGAAAGTTTAATTAGGATATTAAAGGAATTGATCAAAATTCATCCGAGCTGCAGCAAAACCTCCTGGAGGAACTGAAATATGTCTTTAAATCATCTGTTTTCTGCTTGTTTTATGATGGTGCTTTTATTTCTCTACCTTTGCATGCAGTTCTTCCTGTCTTGATGTCTTATTTTAATCTTACTGTCTAACTTTTGTGTTTTTGTCTTCAATTTTTCTTTTTTTCATTTGCTTCCCCTTTGTCTTTCTATCTTTTCCCATCCTTTCCTTACTAAGATCTTTAAACCAGAAGGGAAGAGTTAGAATAATACCTGTAGATTCAGGCATGGGGTTTGAAGAGTGGGAAAACAAATACAAAGGACGACCAAAGCCTCAGCTGAGCGACTTCTTGGATGACGAGGAAGACACCGTAATCTTTCGAATGGGAAGACCTTATCCAGAGCCGACGAGAACAACAGTCAGCCAACCTCATAGCAGTTTTGGGGCTGCAACTTACCCTGAAAGCTACGACACCATCGACCGAAGAAGAAAGAAAAGAATAACAGACCCTGGAGCGCTTCTCCATAAGCAGGCAGAAGATACGTCTCCCGTTCGTCTTGCAAAGCTTCCGGAGAAAAGAGGGGAGCCGTTCCTGCGACAGGTAGCAGAGATGCAGGAGGAAGAGGAGCGGTTCATGACTTCATCGTGCCTCAGGCCGTACAAAGATGGGCTTCTCTACAAAACAAGGATGTGGGCAAAAAATGACCTGGATAACACTTTGGAGAACTACGTAGCATATAAAAAAGGGTGTGATCCTCGACCGAGAGCGCGGTTTGACTTTGAATTTGACTGCGGGGATGCTGCGTACCCCCCAGCTGTCAATAAACATACTAATGACTTTATGGCTGGAGACTTTTATGAGCAGCATCACAAGGAGCGGCATCCCAATGAGGGCTACATGGAGTATCCCCAGGGTCTCCGTGAAAAGAAGTGTGGCAGAACTGGAGGATGGGTTTCTGAGGCGATACTTTCCCCTGTAGAGGAGCCGATTGACGAATATGTTGACCCGATGGATGAGTTGCAGTGTCTTGTTGAAACGGTCTCTGAATATCTCGCTGAAAAAGAGGAGGAAATTAGTAAATATGGTTCCCTTCCCAAATCAAGCAAGTCGAGGCTATCGTCTCTGGGTAGCAACCGGACAGATTCATTCGGAGAAGATCAGAGTATTTCAAAGGACTGTAAAGGAGAAGCTGATTCTGATCAGGGTATTTCAGGTGTGAAGAATGCAATGAGTTCATTGTTTTGCTCCATCACTGACAAAGTTGGAGGAGGAATCAAACAGCCTGCACCGGCTCCACAACCTGCACAGTCTGGCATAACGCGGCTTCTATCCTTTATTCCCACAAAGGCAAACAGCACGGCTCCGGTAGCAGTCATATCTCCGGTAGAAACCTCTCCCAACAAGTCCTTCAGTTCTCTGCCTCAGAACAAAACGCGAGTCCCACAGGAAACAGGAAGTGCTACTCAAACTGTACGAGAACATTCACCCAACATTCTGACTCAACCGCAAACTACAACAGGAAACTCAGTTATGGAAAAACTGAATCCTTTAAAGCTTTTCTCAGGAGGTGAAGTTCAAAGTTCTACTGAATCCAAGCAAGAGTTTGAGTCTAAATATTCACAAGCAAAGATCCAGTCTGACGGAAAGTGGGATGTTAAAGCCGTTCATCAAGGTAAACAGTCAATGACGGACACTGGTGCTATGAAATCAGTGAGGTTAGGGAGTTCAGTTCATGACAACTATTTGGTGCAAAATCATGACAAGAATTTACACTGGAAACAAAATCCAAATATTTATCAGCAAAATTTAAATCCTCCAGAGCCTCAGAAGTCTACTGACCAAACTGCAAACACAGGATTTTTTAGCCCTTTCAAGAAATCATTGAGTTCACTGATTACACCAGTCGTTCCTGGTCCACCTCCAAATGCTCCTCCTGTGGCGGTTTATCCAGTGTTTCGATCTAACGAGAATCCACAACCACAGAAACCGGTGGGGAACCAGCCACTAAGTAGCAAGCCAAAATTGCCTTTTGTCCCCTCAGAAAATGTTCCTACTCAGCAGTGTCCAAAACCAGAAGGAGGTGTGCTCTCTGGTTTTTTGAGATTTTCGTCCACTGAAGACGCTGGTGCCTCTATGAAAACACAGAATTACCCACAAGAATATCACGATACAGCTTCATCCTACGCCACTTCCACCGTCCAACAGGAAAACACAGACAAAGGATGGTTTTCCAGCATGTTTAACCCCTCGCCCAGTCCTACTGGTCCAAACCAGAAGACTAATGTTCATCCTCAGAGCAGCAGAGTGCCAACTGACCGACAACATACCTCAAATCAGAAGCCAACAAGAACGCCACAAAACCCTAATCAGCCTGGATCTCAGCTTTTTATCACAACTCCTTTGAGAGGCAGCTCAGACGAAGACATTTCTCAGATGGGCTCTAGTCAACCCAAACAAGGACTGCTATCTGGACTACTTAATCTTGGTTCTAGTAGTGACTTGTCTGGAAATCCATCACCAAAAGGCAATATTCCCTCACACTCTAGCTCCCAACAAAGTTTCACCACTCCCCAAAAAGGTGGCCTTCTCTCAGGACTATTGAAGTTTTCATCGACAGAAAATATACCACAAAACGTACAGCAGCAGCTGCCTGAGGCTGAGAGGCAAAGGGAAATGTGCAGCAGTAGCCCTGGACAGCAGCAGACATTGGGCGAAACTCGGCAAGTACCACCTCAACAGAGAGGCTTGCTTTCTGGCTTACTAAAATTTACCTCCACTGACAGTAATTCAAATTCTCAAACAATTCCTCAATCTGGCAGTGATCAACATCAGCAAGCCAGCAGTGTGCAGGAAACTCAAGGACTAAGTGGAGGTATGAGGAACGGAACAATGAGCCAGCAAGAAGTACAAGAAACCTCTAAACCAGGTTTCATTCGACAACAAACCGTTCCACCTCAGCAACCTTCGCAACAAGGTGGTCTTTTATCTGGTCTTTTCAAATTTTCTTCAGCTGACAGCATACATAAACAAAGCCAACCATCAGCACAGCAGCATGGGATTTCCTCAAGTAAATCAAGTCACGAGCAGCCAAGACAAAGCAATTTCCCAATTTCTAACCAAAATCAGTCTCAAAGTAGCACAACCCAAACAGCTCAAGGAACTGGACTGTTTTCTGGACTATTTAAATCCTCTTCAGAAAATGTGACTCAGCAACAGCCACACAAAAGCCCCCATGAGATTACAGTAAATCAACAAGTCAAAGTGCCTTGTAGCCAGCCTTGCCCAACACAGACAGAGATGGCAAGTCAACCGGGAGTGCTTTCTGGGTTGTTCAACAAGTTAACGAAAACACCTGACAGTACAGACCTGACCTGTCAGAAATCAGCAGAAAAATCAATACAAGAAAGGGACATTGTTTCTACAATCACAAAGACAACTCTACACCAAGACCAGGCCCTTCATTCCCTTGCCAATTTAAAACAGCAGCCCTTACAAGGACATGTAGATAAAGATAAAATGATTCATGGTGCTGATCAGCAAGGTTTTTTGTCAGGGTTGTTTAGCAAAAGTGCAACTGAAAGCTCTTGTTTCAAGGAAGCAAAGATGGGAGGTCAGGATGCAGAGCAATCAACACAGTGTGCCAAGACGACGGGATTATCTTCAGATTTGATAAAAAGTAGTACCACAGGTTTTGCAAATGAGAGGGTGGAAAGATCTGCTCCAATTTGTCTGACTCCAGGACAGAGTAAGCATGCTTTAATTAGCACATCTGTGGCCATTCACAATGAGAGTCTGGACCTGAGAACTTCAGCTGCTTTTGCAAGATCTCTTCAAAGTCAGGCAACGCACTATTCATTTAGCACAGGTAATCTATCTCAGCTACACTTCTCTCATTCTCTTCCTTCAAATAACCCAATGGCTTACAGCACAGGGAATATTCACTCCCATTTTGAGAGCTGTACTACTTCTCCAGTCATGACCCTGGAGTCTTTTAAAGGTGGAAGTGTTCCCTCTTTGTTTGGGATGACAAATCAGAACCTTTACCAAGGTAATTTGTCTGAGTATGGGATTAGTCCGTCATACGATGAAAACCAGTGGATCCGTGAAAGTGCTCTTTGGCAGCAGTTTCAGAATGAGTCTTTAAGCTACAACTTTCAAGGAGAAGATCAAAGGTACACACAAAACTGTGAAGGCATGCCATTACCGTCATCTACGCGTCACTGCAGCTATTCAAATATTAATCACCCAGTGAATGACATTCTTTGGCAAGATGTTGCACATCATGAGAAACAAATGGTATCACATTCATTTGAAGGACCAGGAAATGAATACCCCCAAAGAAAGTCATGGAACAGTTATGAAGACTTAGGAAATGTTGAATGTTCATCTAATAAAGAAGCTGCTCTGAACTTAACAACTAACCACAGTAATGCAAAATTTGGGAAATGGCATTCGTTTAATGATGGCAGTTCTTACAGCTTGAATGGAGTCTTGTATCATGAAGGCTACTATGAGGAGAACGCACCAAGCTTGTCTTACTCAGCAAACTGGCAACATGCAATGGAAAGGGAAAATGCACAAAATGCTCACACAAACTATTTAAGTCAATATAGTCAATTTAACTCGAATAGAAACTGTTCAGCAGGTGCTAATGTTGAAACAGAAGACTCGCTGTACCTTGAAGACGCTGAATGGTATCAGCAGTGGCTTTCCCTTCTGGAGCAAGGGATGTGGTGGCCAGCAGAGGACGGCGACTGTGGGTACTTTGTTTATACAGACCATGAGTATATTTACGCCTTACTTACAGATGCAGCAGGTGAATATGTGTATGCATGTACACCTGAAGGTGAATCATGGGGCAACGGACAGACTTTAGATAGTCTACCCAGTGCTTGGCTACACAATGAAATGGTCCTGGTCTGTGGTTTTAAAATTCCACTTTACAATGAGGATGAGCTTCTTTGGCTTCCTGGTGAAAGTCATGGCAATCCTCAACTTCTCAATGCTCCCCTGGATTTATCCGCTGCATACAGAAAAGGAAACCAGATCATGAATTTAAATCTCCAGCAGTTCACTGAAATGTTTGAAAATTCATTTATGTCTCAAGGGCAGCAAGGCATGGATTTTGCATCTTACAGATTAAACAAAGTAAGAGTTGATCCAAGACAAACTTCTTATGGATATCAAGATTACTACCAAGATATTATTGATCTCTCATGCCATCAAAGAGACCACACCAGCCTGCATTGGAACAACCATGAAGTAAAGAAATTGCTTGCTCAGAAAGTTTCTGTTTCTCTAAACTCTATTCCTGTTGAGAATTTAAATCATCAGATCCTTAACAAATGCTATCAACCTAGCCAACGGCGGCGTTCTTCTACTGCTGTTACAGTGAAACATGTAGAGGATGTTTCAGAGGATGAATGGAGAAAACGGGTGTCTCAAGCTGAAGAATTTCCCAATCGGCAGGTCAAAAAGATTTCTTCCCTGATATCATCTTTTGTTACCAAACCATCCCAAGTGGAGGTGAAAAAACCTGGGGAGACGTCCTCTGATCAAGCTAGTCTGAAACAAACTAAGGACATTCTGTCATCAGGCCTCCAAAATCTTAAGTCTAAGATTATCAAAGAAGACTCTTCTGCTGCTGTTGCCCCTTCAGAAAGTAATAAACAACAAACTTCGCAGGGTAGAATTTTACCAACGGTTCCCTCAGTTGCTCAAGTCACCCAGCCCTCAACACTTTCAAGTACGACTTCACATAAACCACGACTTTCACGCCAGACTACGATGGTACAGCAAGCATCCCCACCAGCAACAAAACCCAATGTTACTGCACCCATTGCATCAAAAGAATCTATTATTAAACCAGCACAACCTACGCCTGCAACTGACAAGACAGTTGATACAAAAGTTGAAAAGCCACCTGAACAACCACAGGGAGGCTTTATGGGTTTTCTCAAGTCTGCTGTAGGCATGGATGAAATCAAACCAGATATCCAGACATCTTCTCAACCATCTCCTAATCTTCAAAGCAAGACCGGGAGCACTACTTCCTTAACAGGCAGTGCTGCTGGAAATAAAGAGAGTACAGGTGTGTCAAATCTCTTTGGTTCAATTGGCAGCTTGTTTAGTACTGAGCCCTCACCACCTCCACCACAAAAACAGCAAATGAAACAGAGTGTTACAGAGGGTTCACTTTCATCTACGTCTAAATCAAAAGGTGAAGTAAGACAACAAACAGGTGACCAGTCTGGTCCAACACAGAGCCAGACACCAGGTAGAAGTATGTCTGAGGTTTTCTCTTCTAATTTACCCAAAGGTGTTGAAACTAGCAAGTCACCAATTACAGGGCAAACAAAACAGGAGGTAGGAAATAAACCATCTGGACCATCTAGTGGACTTTTTGGATTGTCCATCGGCGATGTGCTGGTTGGATCAACACCACAGACAACTGCACAAGCTAGTGCTCCACAGGAAGAATCATTTAGTAAAAGTATTTTTTCAATGTTTACGGGGCCAAGTCCTCAACAGGCTGCTCCTAAACCAGAACCCACACCTCAAACACATCCACCAAGTGCAGCTCAACAACCTCCTCAACAAGAAACATTTGGTAAAAGTCTTTTATCAATGTTTGGAGGATCAACAACCCCTCAACCCCCTAGCCACATGAAGCCGAACACTGAATCTTCACAAAAGTCTACTGTTCCTCCAAAAGATCCTCCATCCTCAGGATTTATGTCAATGTTTGGTGGGCCCAGCACCCAACAATCTCAACCTCAAACAGAATCTTTTCTCGGGGGACTTTTACAGGGGTCATCAAGTTCATCGGAACGGACAGTGAAAGGACTGTTTTCAGTGTTCAGTGATGCCGGCCCTCAACAACCTCAGCCACCGACCACGCCATCTCACCAAGCAGCTCCTCAGTCACAAACACAGCAACGGCAGGAGCCTCAGGCACAGTCTACACCAAAAGTACAACCTCAACCACAAGAGCCGACTGCTGCTTCTGTTCTCGGAGGTCTGCTAGGTGGATTATCTGGCTCCACTGAAAGTCCACGAAAAAATTTGTTTTCCATGTTTAGTGGCCCAACAAATTCTCAAACACCAAATATTCCCTCTACACCAGCAACTGTGTCACCACAACAACAAACTCCCAACTCATCAATTGGTTCCAAAGAACCCCAACAACAAAAATTATCACAAAAACCTGATTCCAGTAGCCATTGTCAAGAGATGAGCCATTCAGAGACTGGCGCTGCCAGTGTTTCAGGTGAATTGCATTCTGGCATGCCAGGTGACATTGCTTTGAGTACCACAGTGTCCAATAAAGAAGAGGCCACAATTGCAGACATGGAAGTTTCATCTGACAAACCTAAATCAGAGGCTACTGGAATGCCTAAGGAAACCAGTGCAGCAACGGCACCCCAGGATGCTGGTACTACTAAAGAATCATCAGCTCCTGGTTTGCTTTCGATGCTCACTGGATCAGGCCCACATCCTCAACCTTCTGGAGGATTTAGCTCAGAAGGTCCAGGTAAAGGGTTGGTTTCTTTATTTTCTACACCAAGTCCTGAGGCTGCCAGCAGCCAGACAGGACCTTTGCCTCCAGGATCTTTACCAGCATCTTCAGGCTCCAAAGAGCCACCAGGCAAAGGTTTGTTCTCCATGTTTGGAGGTTCTGCTCCTGAGCCTTCCTCCCAGCCTGGAGGTTCATTGTTAGGGGCAATGTTTGGAGGGTCCTCATCTCAAACTACCACGTCTCAGACTGGAGGATCATTACTTGGCGGTTTATTTGGAAGCTCTCCATCTCCACCTGTGTCTCAGGTTGGTCCTACAAAGACTGGAGGGTCTATTCCTCAGACTGCAGGATCACAGACAGGGCCATCATTACTTGGAGGCTTATTTGGTGGATCTGGTCCTCAGGTTGCTGGATCTCAAACATCTATTTTGGGTGGGATTTTTGGAGGCACAGCACCCTCACCTACAGTGCCTCAGACAAGTTCAACAACTCAAAACAAAAGCTCTCTACTGGGAGGGATTTTAGATGGATCATCTTCCCAAACTGCTACAGCACAAACTGGTACATCTTTTCTTGGTGGTATTTTACCAAGCGTTGGTGCTAATGATGCCTCTAGTAAAGGTGTGTTTTCAGCATTTAGTGGGTCTGGTCAAACTACAGCACCTACAGAAATGGATAAAAACAGTTCTGACAACAAAACATCTACTGCTGTTGAAACGGGTTTAATTGATTCTGCTGCCCAAAGCACTGAGCAGAAGGAAACACAGCAGCAACCTGAGGATAAAGGTCCTTGTCTTGAGGTCAGTGCATCAACAACTGATGCCAATATCACAGATAATTGCCCAAGCACTGAACAATCAGCATCTTTAACTGAAGATAGTCAGTCTAAAGAAGTAGAATCCTGCACACAACCACAATCTGAACTCAAAATTAGTGCAGCTCAAGATCTAGCAACTCCTAAAGTAGAAGAGGAAAAAGTGGATCCTTCGACAGTTAGTGCTGCAGTTGAGACACAGCAAAAACCTCCAGAACCAGACAAGTCTTCCATTGATTCAGCAGCAGATGCTGTTACTGGCTTTATGTCTTCTCTGTTCAAACCTGCATCTGCTCCTACCGAAGGCTCTCAACCAACCCAACAGCAGAAGAACTTGCCTTTTGGACAAGCTCCTACAGGTCAGACTGGGGCATCACTGTTGGGAGGACTTTTTGGAGGGTCTAATACTCAATCACCAACTCCCCAAACAGGTGGATCTTTACTAGGAGGCTTATTCAAAGGAGCTACTCCACAGTCTGGTCCTCAGACCACAGCACCTGTCACTGGGGGGTCAATATTAGGTGACATGTTTGGAAGAGGATCCACTGCCAAATCATCAGCTGCCTCGAGTGGTGTATCACGTCTGGGCGGGATGTTTGGAGGTGCAGGGGCAGGAGCGACTTCACAGCCAGGCGGTTCTCTGCTTGGAGGAATGTTTAGTGGCCCCACGGGGCAGGCTGCAGGACCACAAGCTGGAGCATCATTACTGGGAGGCATCGGTGGATCTCTGTTTGGTGGTTTAAGACAACCGCCTAAACCCCCTGAACCAGTGCCAGCTAAGCCGAGGTTGGCTACTCCTGCTGCTCCTGCTGCTGCTGCTGTTGTCACTACTGCTGCAACTCCTTCTACTGCTGCCATTACTACTACTGCTACTACTGCAACTGATCATACTGCTATAGGTTATACTACTGCAGAAAATGTCAGTCTTGCTGCCACTACCACTACTACCAGTACTGCTACGACTGCCAGTAGTGATGCAACAGTTGCTAGTACCTCTACCACTCTTGTAACTTCTACCACAGCAACTTCAAAACCAGGTTCACAGTTTGAAAATGAAAATGTCTCACCAGAAGTAACTCTGCCTATTTGTGAGAGTACAAATGAGAAAATAGATCAAACTGAAGAAACGAACAGTAGCAGTAATGGACAGGCATCTGGTGCATCTTGTCCAAATGTTTCTGAAGTGAGTGAGTCAAAAGATACTTCAAAAGAACTTACTAGTCAGGCAGAAAAGACTGAGCAAGAAATGACAACTGCAGATAGACAAGTGATACATGGGAAACCAATGTTCATTGAAGAAAAACCCAACACTAATGAAAATGTCAAGTCAGTTCTTCCTCAGTTGGATGTTAGAAAAGCTACACCAACTGATCAGCCTTCCAGTGGTGCTGAACAGCCTCAAACTAAGTCTTTCTTGGGTTTTATATCTGCGCAGAGTGACGCAGGAAAATCCCTGGGGTCGTTATTTTCACCTGCTATGCCATCGGTTGTTTCAGCATCACCTCAAACAGAAGGAACCGGTGGTCTATTGTCAGGACTGAAATCCTTTTCTGGAACCTTGTTTCAAGAAGAAAAAAGGGTCACAGGGAAACAAGAGCCAACTACATCATTGTTTGGGGCGAAAATTTGTTTTCCATGGCAGGCAGAGCCACCAAAGTCTCCAACTTCCCAGGTTACAACAACACAACCCCAGTCTGTCAACAAGGCAGCAAGTGGTCAAACAAATAGTGCACAAAAGGCTCCAACACCTGACCCCCATAAAACCGAACTGGTAGGTTCTGCAGATGACATAGTAAACCCCCAGATTTGCATCTCCGCTCCTGATGTAGATCCTTCAGCATCCCAGACCCTAACGGAGGAGAAGCTTGTAGAAACAGACCCCTCTGCAGGTTCTGCCGCAGGAGTGCAGCTGGACACCCAATCCAAGAAGGATCTATTGATTGAAAAAAGGCCAGTAAAACCATAATCAGTGGTATCCCCCTTCACCATTTATGCTGCATTGACAGCTTTTAAAACTGTATATTCCCTGTCCAGCTCTGCAGTCCATTGTCTCTTGCATAGTGTGGTTGTGAATTTATTGTCTGACTCCACACCTTTTTAAATTCTCTCAAAACAGAACTCCACATAAATTTACGGCAGAATAATTATTTAGACAGATTTCTTCCTGTATTTGGAAATTTAGTTGTTTTGTCAAGAGCTACCATGTGTTTTGTCTGACTATGGAGTTCTGATTTGATCAAATCTGTTGTTGAAACTGTTTTACACTGTATGAAAAGACATAACATTTTTCCCCTCACTTTTTGAGCATAAATATTTAGGTCTGTTATGATTATGAAATCTGCTTTTGGCTGTTAATTGCCAGAGTAAAAATGACATTTTCTTATTACTTTCTTCAGAAGTTTAAATACATTTAGTATTTAACATTATTAGGGTTAGTATTGGTATTTGTTTATTATTTGGTTGAAATTACCTTTTGAACTGCTTGAATTGGGCTTTCACTATAATTTGCTAGAATTTCTCTCACTGAGCTGGTTGGCTGTTCGGTCAACTCAACTTTTTTAGCTTTAACTATAATTTTGAGGGGAAATGGTCACTCCAAAATATTAAGTTTGTTGTACTCAAGTAACTTTGTAACCCATTTGTTTTGGTGTTCATGATCATTCGGAAGACAAATTATTCTAGTATTTAAGGAAAAAATACTTTTGGTAGCCCCAAGTGACCTAATAAAGGAAAATTAGATTAATATCAGTCAGTTTTTTTATACAGTGTATCTGGTTCCAACTTCATCTTCTTCTGGTGTTGCCATAATCTGTGTTTTATCCCAACAAATAATGTCTAGTCTTAAATATAATAGCTGTGACATCAAACACACAGATTAAGTCTGCATATTTTAAACATTCAGCTCTTTGTCTGGAAGTTTCTACTTAAAATAGGAAACAAAGAAAATATGCAGAAGCAATTGTGCAAATAATCATCCTTGTTTTCCTCACACCAGTGTGTAATGCACCATCTCTATGCAGTTTTTACCATTTCCAACATGCAGCAGGAAGGTTGGGTATCTAATTTAAGGATTTATGTGGTGTGTGTGTGTGTAGTAACCCAGCTAACACTTTAGAAAGATTGTTGTTAAATTGACACTTTATGTGCGCATGGCTTGTAGCAGGTAAGTGGGATTTATTTAAGCTAGTTGAATTGTTTTGAGGTTTGAATATTACAGTGGACCTGTGGGATTAGGCTTTAAATTCCACTGAAAAATCCCCCAAAAATCAGGGATCCAGGGTAATCTCAACTGTTATGATTTAACAATCCCCACTTATCTGATTTAACTAAGAGAAAATGTCCCGTCAGTTTCTGAATGTTTCCCTCACTCCTCTCTCACAACTGTAGTCCGGTGGAAAGTAATCGTTTCGGGTCGTCTGGGAACCTGAGCCAGGCTAGCTCGCAGCTAAGTGAGACCGGCCACGAGAGCACCGGCGGCTCCGAACTGGAAGAGTCTTTCCACTCCTACCACAGTACCGGCTTACACCCGTCCACCAGCGGCCAGCCGCGTCCCACCGGGCCTCCCACCAACGGACACTCGACTGGCAGCGAGAAGGACGTAGACATTCAGTCCAATGAATTACTGCCGCGTTTAAAGAGCGACGCATCAGAAAAAGACGCACCGAAACTCCCAAGGTAACGTTCTGGTTCGGGTTTCTACTCTTTTACTGAAAGTGGATCTGTGATATTAACTCTCCCTCTTAGATTCCATGATGGAGGCCAGCCGTTGCCTTTCTCCCCGTCTAGAGTCCGTTGGCTGAAAGCCATCAACAAAGTGAGGGTTCAGCTTCGGGAGGTAAAACTTCATCATCTTCTCTTTACTTTATGACTTCTTTTCCCAACACAATACACAAAGATGTATTAAATAAACTTTGTAACGCGTTGACATTCTGGTTGAGTTTAACCTCTCTTGGTGTTTCAATATAAGGGAATGTTTGACATTTCTGTCTAGTTTTTCTGTCAAATACCATTTTTACAGTCAGTCTTAAGTGGTTATGTTTTTAAAAAGACTGACCTTCAGCAGAAGTTGCATATTTCAGCTGCTACAGTATGAATGGCTTGCATGTTATTGTTTACATATGGGAATTTCAAACATGCACTCAACACTGGAGGTTCATCCATAGCCGCGCTGCTGCAGCAGAACAGCTCTATTAACTGAATGACACCCAGAGATGTTGGTATTATTAATTAATTTCCTGTGTTATTTTTCCCTTTGCTGTGCAGCAAAGGGAAAAATAACACAGGAAAACCTTTAAAGAAAAACTCAAAATCACTTTTGTCCTCAGTCTGTTAGCTATGCTACATGCAGACTCGTTGCCATGACAACTGACAACAACGCCACTTTATGTTTCAAGATTCAACACCAGAAAACACTCAAACATTTCCCACACAAAGAACAGTCAGTTACAGTTTCATGTTTTTAGGCTCGGTGTTTATTTTGCGATTATTAAGTGATGGCTGTGGTGGATTAGCTACTGCTGCTATTAGCTAATCCAACACAGCGGTGGTTGATTAGCTAATTTAAACACCTGCTTGACCGATGATGTGTGTACGTCACTTTTTTAAAAAGTTTTTAGCTGAACCAAAAATACACAGAATTCCACATCACATCTATTTGTTACGGTTGTCATAGTCATGCTAGCATAGCCAACCTACTTTGCTTTCCCTTGCTATTTTTTTCTTAATTATAACTTTTTCCTGACCTTATTTTACTTGTTGTAGTGTTGACAACTAGACGACGTCACTTTATTTTTTATAGATTATAGGAACATTTAAGATTTAGCACGTTATGTTGACAACTTGAATCCAGTATTGAAACAATCAACTAATTTTGTACTTAGTTACTGAAGAACATCACACAAAATTATACAGAAAAAAATATATATTGCACTTAAGATGGAGAAAAATATCTTTGCCTGAAAAAGTGGCAGTTTGAGCTCCACCTGGTTCAAATAAAAAAAAGATCTCCTAATAAGCACCTTTTTCTATTTAGTTATTAATTAGTCAACCCAAAAATTAGTGAAAATATCAGCTGTACTCCGTACTGATATTAGAGAAATGCAGAAATGTTTGAGCGTTTCCACATGTTGATGTCAGGAATATGTTTAAGATGAAGATGCTTCCTTTGCCACATTGATTGAATGAAAGGAAGAATTTGCTGCATTTTAGCCTCAGATTAGAAATTAGGCAGAAAATACGGAGAGAGAGGAAGAGGAGCGGCACTGAATGTGGTGGGAGGGAATCCAGGATGACTTTCTGAGGAAACCGCGTCTCCTCCCATCATTCTTCTCCTTTAGTGGCTTAAATTAAAGCTGTAGCTGTTAAATCGTCTGAAATGTAGCAACACGTCTTATAAAGCAACAAAAAAGCTTCACAGATTCTCACCATGTGGCTCTGACCTTCATTTATTCCCAACAAGGTAAGGTCTGTATTTAAATATTTACTTATTGGTGTTTTTGGCACAGTTAATATTTGGCTTTTGATTCATTCCCTGAAATTTTAAAACATCAAAGTAAGGACAGATTTTTGTTTAAGGTAGATTTAAACGTTTCCTTCCTCTTATTTTAAAACTCAGATTTGTTTTTGATTTTCATATCAGCTTTAATTTAGTTTTTAGAAAACCAAACTGCAACTTGCTGCCTTCAACTAATAAATAGATGCTGAGGAGGATCAGGGCCAAGAAAGAGGAAAAATATTATTTTATTAACAGAATTCTGACTTTTCTTACTTCTTTCCATTTATCCATCCTTTTGCCATTTCTTCATTGCTTTCTTCAGTCTTTTGTCCTTTTATTGTTTTTTCCTTCCTTCCTTCCGTTTTTCCATCCATCCATCCATCCATACATCCATACATACATACATACATACATACATACATACATACATAACTAAAACTCTCCAACAGGAAATAACTGAATCACCTGTTGAATCAGGTTTTATTTAGTTTTCTTCCCTGTAAAGTATCGTCCGTTAATCTCGGAGTGATCGGTCTTTGAAGCTGGTTGGGGTTTGAATGATTGACGTAACTTAAGAATTGGTTTGTCGTCTAATTGCTGCTCCGCCTCTCCAGAGCTCCTAATTACAGGCAGCTAAGCAGCTGCTGGTTGTTCCCTCCACACATTTAGCTGAGACGTCGCTTTAAACTGGACTGTTTGTCTGATTTCTGCACTGTAAAGACTATAGTTGTCTCTCAGACTAAAATAGATCCTTCAATTGTCTGTAAAATGACAATTTATCCAACAAGTTGAACTATAATTTGGTAAATCTTTAATTTTTCTGCCGTTACTGTGGGAATAGCCAGATATTTATGTAGACTGTATAAAAAGACAGATATTCAAACAATTTTAGGTAAATTTAAACACATCAGTCAGAGTTCAGGAAGTAGACAGGTTCTGTGGACCAAAGCAAAAAAACCTTGTAAATATGTTGATTAGTAAGAAACCTCCATTTTCCAGAGTTTCCTACTGAAAAGCCGCTCCATAAAGAAGAATCAATATGAAACACCAGCTAATACATTAATTTTCAGAAACATCTGCGTATGGATAGCAACTACACAGTAACTAAATCACATATTGGGAGAAAAGAAGGTACGTCACATCTCTACTGTGAAAATAGACGATATTATGGAGAAACGTTTTAAAGAAACACTGATAAAACATCTCAAAAACTTAAACTTTGGTCACAAATGGGTCTTCCAAATGAACAATGACCCAAAACATAAATTAGCTATGACGCTAAAGGACAAGAAAGTCCTTTAACATTTGAGGAAAACCCTGTGAATTGTTTTGTATGACATAATTTTATAAATTCTGATATTTGGCTAGTATAAGAATAACTAATAGTCTAATTATAGCTAAGTTTTAGGAGATTTAATTAGATTTAACATCAGAAGGGGAGGGAAAACAGTATTTTTATAAAGTGTGCAAATATCTAGTTTCAGCTGTAAATCTATTTTTTGTTCTTTAAAAATGACTAATTAGATTAGCTGTAATTGCTGTTAATGTAATATAGTTTCTCTAGTTCTTAAACTAAAACATGAAATTGCCAGGAGAAGCAATAATTTATTGGCTGTCTGATCATGATTATCTATAAAACTACTGAAATCATGTTTCTTTTTCCCTTCTAACGTCAACAATAAAGACTTACTGTAGGTACTCTCCGTCGCAGAGCTAGCTGTTTTCCCATGTGTTGGACCAGTTGACAACAGGCTCCATCTACTAGGAATGTTTCCCAAGGGACGGATTGGTGGACAAGATGAAAATCCACTTCAAGTCTTCCCAAAAAGGCAAGAGCTGCAGACGAAGAGCTCAAAGAGCCCAGACTTGGGGGAAAGCTTGCACAGAAAGCCGCTGGGGCTGGAAGATAATCCCCCTTGTGACGTTTCAGCGGTCAACTCTACCGGCAACAAAGCTAGCATAGCCTCAGTTGGGGAAAAGAGAGTTACTCAGCGCCAAGATGGCAGTGCAGCTGGGGATGACACCAAACATGATGCACAGGAGAAGATCTCAGTTGAGGAAGCAGGACAAGGTTCTGGCAACATAGTGGAGCACATCCTTAAAGAGTTGAAAGGTATCAATAAGATCCAGGAGGAAATATCTGACCTGAGGCAGTATTTAACATCCGTGCGCGGCTCAGTGGACGAAGTATCCTGTTGTGTCGACGCGGTTCTCAGTGAAATAGGGGAGCTGTACTGCGGAGCGTCAGCTGCACCTGAACCGAGTCCGGTTCCTCAAACGGCACGCATCAGACGAGGAAGTTTGGGCAGACAGAACGCCGTCATGTGTCTCCACGAAAGAGATCCCAGTCCAGTGTTGGATAACACTGTGTATGGAGAAGATTCGGGCTCCAGAGCAACTAAAGGTTGGCAAGAAGACAACAAAACTGATGATGATGTCCGTTCATTTAGCTTTGGCAACTTGGAGCAGAGTTCAAATCATGAACTCTGCCACTTGGAGCGTCACTGTGGGCAGAACTACCAAAGCACTAGCTCTCTATCATCGTCTCAGAGCTCAAACTTCCTGGGAGCAGGTTTTCCTTCTGGTGACACAGAATGCAATATCTGGTGTTGGAGTGAAGAAGACATCTCCTCTTGTGGCCAAGACGGTTGGAAGAAGGAACCACAATGTGTTGCAGTGGGACCTTCCCCAAACAGCAGTTCTGAACACCTTTCTCTGTTGTTTGGACAGCAGTACAACTCTTCCTCAAGTTCTTCCAGTAAGGTCGGGTGGAGGACGCCAACCAATGCAGCTGAGGAGGGAACCCTGGACTGTGACTGCGCTGCAAACTGCCCGTTTTCCCGAAGCTCTGGTTACCACACAGCGGATGCTTGCGCCAACGACCTCGACAGCGAGCCATCCAGGAGCTTGAGCTGCTCTACCGTGCTGTTGACGGACTGCGATGACGGTTACCCGGCGCAACATTCGCCCTGCGATGACTATCCATCATCTGGGGATACTCTTGATCTGGGGTCGGCTGAGAGTCTGGACAGGGAATGGACAGATCAAAGCCTGTCCAGAGAGGAAGTACTGGAATCATCATCACGGTCGTCTTCTGAGATGGATTCAGAGACCACACCCAAAACCCCCATCGACAAGGTTGACGAAACGATCTTCAGCGAGGCTGTGGTCACTTTTAGGTCTGCTTTGAAAGGGGCAATGAGGAAGTTTGAAGTGCCCAGCCATGAGGGAGTTACTGACTCTCAGTTGTCTCTGTCATCAATTAGACGATCCAGTGAACCCAATGAGAAGGATGTTCACCAATTTACCTCTGCAATGGGGGACAGTGGGACCAGTCAAACACATGACAATACACCAGTCTCTACACAAGAGTTTCCCACTCCAACTACATATAACTCATTAGAGTTGGCACAAAACACCATGGAGAGCAATGGAGAGTTGTCCAGCGTTGATGTAACCCCAAACCACAGTCCTGCAGTACGGGCGAAAAGTCTTCTGGAGCCAATCAGCGAAAATGGACCCCCTGGAGAGGGGGACAAAGCGAAGCCAACTGATGCCAGCCATAGAGAGCGAATTGCTAATTTTCAGCGTATATTGAGAGAAAAAAGGCAGACGCATCGTCGTCTCTCCAGATCCACTCAGGGTTCCTACGGATCTCAGGGATCTCAGGGATCCCAGGGATCCCAGGGATCCCAATCTCAAGACGAATTCATCCCAGGTATCTTTAAAAAAGCATTCAAGTTCTTCTTCTCTAACTTTAATAACAATGCCAGAAATTAGGGTTGGGCATTAATTGGTTTTATTGATTAATTAATCTAATTTATAGTTTTTGAAGATTTAATTTTTGGATAATCTGGATGTTGGGAATAAAAGATTGGATTTCATCAAAAAAATGCAATGAGTGAACACAGACTTTGATGCCACTGAATTTTTAAAAAGATCATTTAAACTACTTTATGTAATTTATATTCTCTGTGATCTGTTGTTTTATCTTTTTTTCAGAGTTTGGAAGAGAAGAAAATCAGGTTACACATAAAATATCAGCCTTCCTTTTAATTTTTCTCTCATGTTTCCTCCCTGATGTGCTATTTGTGGAGTTTTTTGTTCTCACTTGTTACCTGTCTAGAAAAATAAAAATAATATGGGTTGTGTTTATTTTATTTTGTTTGCAAGTTTTACCATAGTAAGGGAATATGTGCGTTAAAATATCAGTATCGATCCGATAAGTAAAACCGATAAATTATCCTCCATACTGTTATGAGTCTTTCTTTATTTTTTTATTTTGACCTTTGTGTGACTTTGCATGCTACCATTTGTCTGTCGCCACTGTGGGAAAATAAAGTATATTTTTGTTCATTTTCTCCTTTTCAACATCACATTGTCACCATTTGTACAGTTATTGAGTTTAATAACTAATAGAGTTTTTAATGTGACATCAGAGAGGTTAAGCTCAACCAGAACCGTTTCTCCTTTCCTCCCTAAATGTCTTCAAACTAAAACATTCAAAATGTTCCCACAGGTCAGAGATGTGGAGCCCAATAGCAGACAGGCCTGGGTTAAACCAGGGTAAGTTTTACCTTATCACAACGTGAATGCTTTGTCTACCAGTGCAGACACAGTGGAGGTTTTCTGTGTTGAATGAATTTCTGCCCTCATTATGTTGGCAGTGGTGGATCTGGTCTGTATGGAATCGACAGCATGCCAGACTTGCGTAAGAGGAAGCCCATCCCCCTGGTCAGCGACGTGGTCAGTACCGTTCACTCATTACTTCACTTCTATTTGTCAGGTTATGTTGTTTGCTTGTTTGTTTTAGCTTCAAGTAATTCATCGTGAAACCAGCAGATGTTACTGCTGCGCTTACTTTGCCTTGTGTGCATTTGCATCTCTCAAACTTTCATTTCAGTGTTTTATTGGAAATTCTAACAAAAAAACTACAAAAAGTGTCTCATAAAGTTTAAAGAGGTAGGAAAGTGGTGCAATGTTCAAAGTTTTATGCAGAACTTTGGTGGACCAGAACAAAAAGTAGTATATAAGAAGTTCATTTTCTGAATATAGTGGAGTATACTCAAAGTACTAAAAATATACTTCTAGTCCTTATTTTATTGTTTTTAAGTATATTTTTATTAAACTGAAATATGCTGTTTTTGCTATTTTAATATAACTATTTGCCTAGCATATTACTTTTAGCATCCTATTTATGCCCTAAAATATACATATTAAACTATTCTTGAAGTTAACCCAGGTATATTTACACTACAATGCAATTTACAAAATCATAAGAATAATTAGAATATTGAGATTCTAAAACATATAGTGTATTTACAAATATCTACATAAGTTATTAAAAACTAACAAAAACAAAGAGCTTCTGTGAAAATAAGCCCTTTTTAGCTGAAAAAAGGGCTAAAGATGACATTTGCATGTAAAATGTAAACATGATAGTCTCTCCAGGATGAAGTCCTTCTCTGTCCAAACTGGTAGAGGGGAAAGTGAGCATTTCCTTATAGAAATGTAAACAAAGTAGCATTTCCAACTGAAAACATGTCAAAAGGTCACAACTGTGAAATCAGAAATAAAAATCTGAACAGGAACAAAAACACACTTTTACGACTTCTATGTACTATGATCTTCTACATGTAAGTTTTTTACAGGGGTGATGACTTAAAACGAATGTGTGTAGTGAAAAACGAATGCTAATTTTTCTCTCCCTCCTCTCCTAAACCTGAAACTATTCCCCACAACTCTCTTGAATGCATTCTCTCTTCCTGGTCAGGCTATGGTAAGTTATAGACGCAGATGCCCCTCCCCTTTTCCTGCTGAGGTAAAAATAGATAAAAACATCAAGTAGGGGTGATAACGCATCTAGCAGCATGGTGCACCGGTTTAATCTGAATAGAAACATGCATGCACCCTGTAGGTCCTGGGTGACTTTCCTTCCTGCTTCATATTATCAATTATATATTGTTCACCAATCATTCCCTCACCCTGTGGCTTTCCTCACTTCTCTTAGTTAAAAACTAGTTTAAATTAGTGACTCCAGGGCACTAACACAGTTCACATTGCAAAATCACACAATATTACCAAGTATTTTGGTCTAGATTGTTGTACAGATATCTTAGTTCACTTAAAATAAGACAAAACTAACTTACAAGTAACTTTTCAGGTATAGGAGCTAGTTAAGTAAATAATTCCTTAATATTGATGAAAAAGTTCTAGTACTGGCAGATTATTTCACTTACGATTTTGGAAAAATGTATTGTTACAAGTGAAATAATCTGCCCGTTACCTAGCAACCTAAACCTGGGCTATACAAAATATGTTCATTACATTTTTTCATTTATTTTTTACACACAATAATTTTTAGATGAAAAGATTTTAGTCTGGTTTTATTATTTCACTTAGAAAATGACAAAAATATCTTGTTTTAAGTGAAATAATCTCCCAGTAGAACTCATTTTGAAGAATTATTAACTTAAAACAAGCTTCTTTATTATGCTGTAGAGTTGTTTGTAAGTTACTTTGTCTTATTTCAAGTGTAATAAGATATGTGCACTATGAACTAAACCAAATTTACTTGGTAAGCAAGTGCTGTTATTCTGTTTCGGACTCATGGTCTAAATTTCCTGTTAATCTCCAGCTGCTTAAAACTAACAAAACTCACATGGTTTTTTTCCTCCTATAAGGAGTTGACAGAAAAGAAAACACTTTGCTAACCCTACTGACCTCTCCTTTAACCACCATCACTCCAAACTGCTACAGCAATAAAAATGGATCTGTATTGGTTTTTTATTTTTTTTGTGTGGCGCATAAATTTGTTTACTGGATGGAAACTTATGCAAATTTTCCCTGTTCAGTCGCTTGTCCAAGCCAGGAAGGCAGGGATCGCCTCTGCCATGGCGGCACGGTCCTCATTCAAGGACGAGGAGCTGGTAAGTCAAACTAATTTGCTATTTTTTATTTTTATCTGCCTTTATTTCAAGGCAGCATATGGGTTTTTACCCTTTACTTTAAATGAGTAAAGGGTTTTTACCCATTTAAAAGTTACACCTACAGTGTAAACCAGATATTTACAAACACAAACATGTTTTTCCTCACAGTCTAAAGTTAAGTAGACCAAACTTTTCTTGTTTTAGCTTAGAATTACCAAAATTATCTCCACTTGCTAAATTCAAATGGTGAGAATATATTTTAGAGATGTTTTCTGTTACTTTCCTAAAATTCAAAAGTTTCCATACATTTGGTCAGTATCCCAGATAAGTTTACACCGACAAGCTCCTGAATGGTTAACTGACACATTTGAGTTGATTGGAGTCACACTTGCTTTCTGGTTTGACTCGATGGGAAAAATTTGGTCCGATTTAACTTCAAAGAATGAGTAAAAATTAGTTTTTGTCTTTTATCCACCTTACATAAATGATCTCCAACTATTCGTAGAAAAACCACGTGTACAAGAAGACCCTGCAGGCGCTCATCTACCCCATTTCCTGCACGACGCCGCATAACTTTGAGGTGTGGACGGCCACCACTCCCACTTACTGCTATGAGTGTGAGGGGCTGCTGTGGGGAATCGCCCGCCAAGGCATGCGTTGCTCCGAGTGTGGCGTCAAGTGCCATGAAAAGTGCCAAGAGCTGCTTAATGCGGATTGTTTACAACGTGAGTATAGACAAGTTTCATTTTATTGCTTACATCTAGAAATTCAAGCATGTCTACAAAACTGGAGGGCAAAAAGACGATTCTTTTACATGCTGTCCTGCTAACGAATTGAAACCTGTTAATGTAGGCATGATTCATGAGGGCTATGTGCCACAGGAAAGGGAAAACTAACAGAAAAACCGTTAAAGACCAATTCAAAACCACTTGTATTTTTCTTTGTTTCTCGCTCTCTGTGTTTTCCTAAGCTACATGCAGACTCGTTGTAATAATGGACAACACTCACAACTTTATACATCAGAACTCAACATCAACAAACACTCACACATTTCCCAATATAGAACATTCAGTCCGTTAGTTTTATGTTTTTAGGTTTGATGTCTTTTTTGTGATTATTAATAAGTGATCATTGTGGTAGATTAGCTACCGCTGCTATTAACTAAGCTAACATAGCGGTGGTTGATTAGCTAATTTAAGCACTTGTTGTACTGATGATGTGTCGGAGACAGAGTTAATGTGTAAGTAGCCATTTTTATATTTTTTTAACTGAACCGAAACACATCGAATTCCACAGCACATCTACAGGTTAACGTTGTCATAGTCAACTTAGCATAACAGAGCTACTTCCCTCGCTATGTTTTCTTAAATTAAATGCCCTTTTTATCTAGTTGTTGTAGTGTTGATATTATTTAGCAAAGAACTGCGTCCCTTTTTCTATTAAATTATCAAGCGTACATTTATCATGCATTTTTACAACTTCACAGCTAATGGTAATCGTCATTGGTGAGCAGTTTTATTACAAAACCAAGTTTACAAAACACCAATTAAATTAGCCCTTCTGAATTTATCCCAAAAATATATTTTCTGGAAACTAAATTTGCTATATGTTTTCTAAATGCTTATTTTTCTCCGCTATTAGCACATTAGCGGATTAGCCCTCCACTGGTAGCTGGTGCGTCACATTCTGTCAGCTGATGTTTCCAGCATTTTGATTTTTGGTTGAATTTTTAGGTGCGGCAGAGAAAAGCTCCAAACATGGAGCAGAGGACCGTACCCAGAATATCATCATGGCCATGAAAGACAGGATGAAGATCAGAGAGAGGAACAAGCCAGAGATCTTTGAGCTGATCAGGGAGGTGTTCGTCGTCACCAAAGCCATTCATGCTCAGCAAATGAAGACCATCAAGCAGAGCGTGTTGGACGGGACGTCAAAGTGGTCGGCCAAGATCACCATCACAGGTACCCCTCTGATCAACACGTTTATTTAGAGGTTACCTCGTCAATCTGCGTGGTATTATCTCTGTGTACGATTATGTTTGTCTCTGTTTCAGTGGTTTGTGCGCAGGGACTTCAGGCGAAAGACAAGACCGGCTCCAGTGACCCGTATGTGACCGTTCAGGTGGGGAAGACCAAGAAGAGAACCAAGACCATTTATGGCAACCTCAACCCAGTCTGGGAGGAAAAGTTCCACTTGTGAGTAAAGAATCCTCTTGGTTTGGAAATAATAAAAAAAAGCTTTTTTTTGTTTTAATGCCTTTGGCAGTAAAACATATGTTGCTGGAAAACATGTTAATTTTCCTTTAAAAGTTTCTTTTATTTTTATTTATCTTACAAATACGGACACATTTAAAGGGAAACAAATTGGTTAAATGCCAAAACGCTTTATTAAAACGTGAAATCAGTGGCCAACAGAAATGTTTTTCTTTTTATGGTAAGTTTGTATCTTTTAATTAATTTTTTTTTTCTTTAGCGAGTGCCACAATTCTTCAGATCGCATCAAAGTTCGCGTTTGGGACGAAGACGATGACATCAAGTCCAGAGTGAAGCAGCGTCTGAAGAGGGAGTCCGACGATTTCCTGGGTCAGAGTATCATCGAAGTTCGAACGCTGAGCGGAGAAATGGACGTCTGGTACAACCTGGGTCAGTACAGCGTGGAAAAATGCAAATATGGCCGCCAGAACAGAACAACAAAGGTTCACACAGAAACAAAATATTCTTAGGGTTAAAAATAAAATATAAAACTCAGATTAGCAATAACAACTCTAACAGTAATGCTAATACTGTGCTGTTGTTGTATTGTAGCATTAGCTTCTGCTAAATATCTTCTTGGTGCAGTGTTTTAGTGTTATCTTTAGCAAAGTACTGTGTTAATGTGGTGATTTAGCATTAGCTTCTGCTAAGTACTGTGTTAGTGAAGTGCTTTCACGTTAGCTTTAGTTACATGTCGTTGTAGCCTTTAGCATTAGCAGAACTAACCTTTTGGCTAGCAGTCCCCACCTCTGATTATAACCAGCTATGCTATTATGTCATCAAACATTCCCAAACCATTTTGTCCTCTTTCTCCCTTCTTCCCATTTCCTGTTTTTTCAACACGAGATAATCAGGTAGCTGGAAATCACCCGTTCTGCTGACGTGTGAAAATTGCCCCTAATAACGACCCTGTCAGGCAAATAGCAGGCTGAGCTGCCATTGTCCTGCTCACTATCAGCCGGAGGACTTCTATTAGCGCTGCAGAAACAAAGACTCCCTGCAATGGAGCTGCCATGTTAACCTGTAATTACAGGGAACCGATCTGGTTCAAGGCGCTGCAGAGCTGCAGCTGAATTATGAATCCAGAAGGTGGAAATGTCTGAATGACTGTGTTTGATTACAGAGAAGCGGACGGACAAGTCGGCCGTGTCGGGAGCCATTCGCCTCCAAATCAACGTGGAGATCAAAGGAGAGGAGAAAGTGGCTCCGTACCACGTCCAGTACACCTGTCTGCATGAGGTATCACCTTCAGATGCATCTGCATAATACAGAAAAGGATCAGGGCCACTCAGAAAAAGCCAGACGTTTGAGAAAAACGTCTAAATTCTGAGAAAAATTTACAATTTTGAGAAAATAAGAATTCTGAGAAATAATTAAGAATTTTCAGAAAAAAGAACATCACATATCATATATCGGTCAAAAATAGCATAGAGGTTCTTTAATTTATCAATGGATGCAGATTTAATGAATCTGAAGAACACATTGTGGTCATCACTTGCTGCATGTGCAACTGTTTTATTGCACTTTTTCCTTACAATAAACTTTCCATTACGTTTTAACAGCCACGTAGTTCGGAGCAAACTTTTATAACTTGTCTTCCATGTAGATGATGTCAATGACCGAACAGAAAACTTACATTTCTGTTTTTAAAACTGTTTTAATCTTATTTTCAAAATTTACTGAGAACAGACGACAGTCTATGATATTCACCGTATTTTTGTTTTGTCCTGCATGTCATGTGATCAGATTCAAACATGTTTCCGTTCTTCAGCAGGAACAAATGGAGGTTTTCTGGCTTTGGTTATAAGCTTATTACAGCCTTACAAAACCAATAATCCCATAATCAGAAAAGCCAAAACCTTCCAACCCATCAGCACACGATTTCAAATGAATAAAAATCCCTCATCTTCCATGTTTCTGTTGCTTTATTCGTTCTAATCCTCTGCTTCTGAATTGTTTTCCTTCTGTCCGCTGCAGAACCTGTTCCACTTTTCTACCGATGTTCTGGGTCAGGGCTCGGTCCGGATCCCCGAGGCCAGAGGAGACGATTCCTGGAAACTTTACTTTGACGACGTGGCACAGGAAATAGTCGACGAGTTCGCAATGCGCTACGGGATCGAGGCCATCTACCAGGCCATGACGTGAGTCACTGACGCTCCCACTTCCTGTCAGTCAAAATTAAACACCTGCTCTTCAGACCGAGGGTGTTCAAAGTGGGGTTCGGGGGCCATTTGCAGACCATGGATTGATTTTGATGTGGCGCCCCAACCACAACTCAAGAATAAGTCAGGACAAAGCTACGTTGAAATCGTAGCTTTGTCTTTTCTCTTTGCTTTTTGTTAAATCTCGGGTCATTCATCATACGTAGCGCAGAACTTATGCTAAAATGAAAGTTTAGGATAACTTCCAAGTTTATCATAAATTCAGTTTTAGCATTTATTTTGAAGTGGAAGTCATACTAGCATAACTTTAGTTTTAGCATATCTTCCATTTTTGGCACCACAACCATCACAGCACAACTTTTATTGCGGCTTTTTGATGTAGTGTTGCTTTAGTAGTGTTGGCCCTTCTTGGCCTCCGTACATCCTCACCAACGTTGACTGTGTCTCTGTCTCCAGACACTTTGCCTGCTTGTCCACTAAGTACATGTGTCCTGGGGTTCCTGCCGTGATGAGCAGCCTGCTGGCTAACATCAATGCTTTCTACGCCCACACCACCGCCTCCACCAATGTGTCCGCCTCCGACCGTTTCGCCGCTTCCAACTTTGGGGTTTGTACAGCTGTAGCACAAACGACAAGACGTTCTTCTTCTTCTTTGTCCAACATTTCTCCCTACGGTTTGCTGTGATTAATGTAGGGGACAATTTTACATTTATTTCCTCTTTCCTCACAATACAGAAGGAACGTTTTATCAAGCTTCTAGACCAGCTTCACAACTCCTTACGTATTGATCTCTCTACCTATCGGGTAAGTTTTGTATATAAAACGCCTCAAAGATGTTTAGAAATCACATTTCTTCCCGTTGGTATACTTTCACTCAGAAAGGTTCATATGTTTACACATAAAGGAAGTGACTTTACATTCCAAGCACCAAACTATTGGTTACACAAAATGGAAAATAATCTAAAAATTAAAGTTTATTGATATTGAAGAGAAATTCTTGCGATATTATTCCATTTCCATTATATTACTTGAAAATCGCCTCAAAGCAACAGTATAATCGATTAGCCCATCAGTTCATCCCTAAATTTATGTTTTTTCTGTGCAGAACCACTTTCCTGCCAGCAGCAAAGATCGGCTGCAAGATTTGAAATCAACAGTTGATCTTCTGACCAGCATCACCTTCTTCAGGATGAAGGTACCAAACACCCTCCAGTTCTGAGTTTCTTCATTTTTATGCTTCACATTAACTTGACTTGCTTGTTTTTGTATTTTAATTTTTTTTTTCTAGGTATTTTGTATTCTAACATGTTAGCTTCTTTGTTGGTCCAATATGGCCGACTTCACACCAGGTTCTGCCCCACGGTTACCGATGGCAACAGAAAAGGGGGAGGGGCTGTCAGTTAATGGTTGCCACGGTAACCACCAAATGCCAAGCGCAGCAGAACTTAAGGAGCAAAAAATGCCAAGAGAAAACTGGATAAAAGTTTGTCAGATAGTTAAAATCTAAATAATTATTGATACTGACTGATGTGAAAAGTTTATATTGTGATAAGTTTTCCAGCCACATCCGATACCCGATTTGATTTTCTGATAGTGGATCGGTTCATAGTTAGTTGAGCTGGTTCTGGATCTGATGAAGCTGATGAACCTCCTGATGGTTCCAGGAACTGTTGGAACCTGAAGTTTTTCTCTCTTACCTGATTTTGTTGTTTTTTCTCTGTTACCTGATGTTGTTTTTTTTTCTCTCTTACCTGATGTTGTGTTTTTTTCTCTGTTACCTGATTTTGTGTTTTTTTCTCTCTTACCTGATGTTGTTGTTTCTCCTCTGCCTGGCGTTCAGGTCCAGGAGTTACAGTCTCCGCCCAGAGCCAGTCAGGTGGTGAGGGACTGCGTTAAAGCCTGCCTCAACTCCACCTACGACTACATCTTCAACAACTGCCACGAACTCTACAGCAGACAGTACCAGCCTGCAGACGCAGTATGTGATGCATTATGGGGATTCTGTTAGATTTATGCCTGTTTTTATTTAGTAACGTTGAGGTTTAATTTCTGTAATCCAGAACAAGGAGGAGCTTCCCCTGGAGGAGCAGGGCCCCAGCATCAAGAACCTGGACTTCTGGCCCAAACTCATCATGCTCATCGTCTCCATCATAGAGGAGGACAGGAACTCCTACACGCCTGTGCTCAATCAGTCAGTCGTCCGTTTTACATTCACTCTTTATCCTGCTTACTACGTGATCTACGACATTTCTGAGTGAAACTTTTTTCTATCAGGTTTCCACAGGAACTGAGTGTAGGAAAAGTTTCAGCAGAAGTAATGTGGACGTTGTTCGCTCAAGACATGAAGTACGCTCTGGAAGGTTGGCCTCACTTAAATACCTTCAGATCTTTACATGATTCTCTTTTGTTTGTTATCCTCAAATTGACTCAGTGTGAAGGATCATTTTTCCCAAATTTACAACTTTTAAGGATTGGAAATTATTGAACAATTAATCACAAGTAATTGATTATTGAAATAACTGCCAACTAATGCAGTAATTGATTAATCGTTATCCAAAATACACAGACTAAAAAACTCAACATATTCAGAGTTGTAATTAAGCTGAAACTATAATATATATACACATTTCACATTTAAGATAAAAACACTTTTTCTTTTATATTCACTCTGTTCAAATTCATGAAAGGAGTTTTATGTTGTTGCATTTTAGGCAATAAAATGTCTTTATTTAAAAATGAATCAAATTTTAGTTTTTCCATCTTTTAATGTATTTTTAAAGTTTTATAGAAAAGGCTTAATCTAGCATAGCCTGTTGTGAATGCTAAGGCTAATTAGCATGACCATAGATGACGGTAGATAAACAGCTTTCCCATGGCGGTAAGTTATACATGAGCATGATTGGCAGCGCTAAGCTCTGATTGGTTGTTTTTGGAGGTGGAGATCGATCTTCTCACAGATTGTCTGTCTCACTGTGACCGTTTTAATAAATATGTTAGTTATTTTTTATAAAAGTTACATACTGTAGCTTTAACTGTATTATTAGCGGCAGGATTTGTTTGGTTTATAAATCTTGTTTTGTCTTTTCTCTGCAGAGCATGAGAAGCACCGGCTGTGTAAAAGCACCGACTACATGAACCTGCACTTTAAAGTCAAGTGGCTCTACAATGAATACGTCAAGGAGCTTCCGATCTTCAAGGATGTGGTTCCTGAATATCCATCGTAAGGTTTTAAACTTTTAAAGCAGAGACAAAATGTGGGGAGGTTTGTGCTAAGTGTCGTTTTTCTGTTTTAGTTGGTTTGTGCAGTTCGTTCTGCAGTGGTTGGATGAAAACGAGGATGTTTCCATGGAGTTCATGAATGGAGCGCTGGAGAGAGACAAGAAGGACGGAGTAGGAACATTCAGCTGTAATTTCTGTGTTTTTACCAGTAGCTGCTGTTTCCATGCTAACCCGTCTGATTCAGTTCCAGCAGACGTCTGAACACGCCCTGTTCTCCTGCTCCGTGGTGGACATCTTCACCCAGCTCAACCAGAGCTTCGAGATCATCAAGAAACTGGAATGTCCCGACCCCAGCGTCATGGCTCACTACAGCCGCCGCTTCTCCAAGGTAACCCTCAAAAACTGTTATTTCTTTAATATTCTCCTTATTAGTAGTAAATTTACTCTTGATATTCAGGTTTTCTTGTAATTTTAAAAGGACTTTTTCATCCATTGTTTGGAAACAGCTGTTTAAAACCAGCAGCAGTGATTCTTTGTTTTCTAGATGAAGCTTTCAACATATTTATTTACACTTTTTTTTTTTTTTACATATTGTCTTGTTAATTTTATAAAAGACTTTGGACACACTGCTTAAAGTGTTGAATAATCTTTTATCCATAGAAGTTGTGGGAACTGCTAAATATAAAATATTAGCTGTGCTAACCATAAAAGACTAACCAGAAATATTAGTCCAGCTAATGCTAAATTGTTGTGCTAACATGGTACTTAGCGGAAGCTAATGCTGAACACTATAGCAGCATCTTATTTAGTGGAAGTTGAGACTACAGTGTTGTGCCAACAAGGTACTTAGCAGAAGCTAATGCCAAAGCTGCATCAACAGAGTTTTCAGTGGAAGCTAACGCTAAAGGGTTAGCAACACAATATTTAAGGAAGCTAATGCTAAAGGGCCACAGCAACACAATATTTACTGGAAGCTAATGCTAAAATGCTGTAGCAACACAGTATTTAGCAAAACACAGCACTAAAGCGCTACACCAACATAATATTTAGCGGCAGCTAACACTAAAGAGATATAGCTATATGGTATTTAGTGAAAGCTACACCAACACAATAGAAGCTAAAGTGCTATACTAACATAATATTTAGTAGAAGATAATGCTAAAGAGCTATAGCAAGATAGCATTTTGTTGCTAAATTCAAATTAGCTCAGTTATTAGCACATTTGCGGTTATCAGTCAGATTCTTTGATTTCTCATTTCTTGCAGACAATCGCCAAAGTTCTCCTGCAGTACAGCGCCATCCTGACCAAGAGCTTTCCTTCTTATATTGACAAGGAGAAGATTGTAAGTTGTTCAGTTTTTGTTGTAGAGCATATTCTGATAACATTTTAAATGCTGCTATTGAATCTCCTCATGTCCTGCTGCAGCCCTGTGTCCTCATGAATAACGTGCAGCAGCTGAGAATCCAGCTGGAGAAAATGTTTGAATCAATGGGGGCCAAACAGGTGAGTCAAATGGAAACGGGTAGACTTGAAGGGTTTAGGAATACAAACATGGTAAAAACATTCAACACGTTGTTCATCTGCATTCGAATTCACTCCTGTGTGTCAGACTGCGACAGAGGAAGCGCGGGTATGTACGTTAGCGCTAGCTTGGATTGTTTGGTAGATGAAGGGTTGATTGGTTCTGGGCTGTAGTTGCTGGAGTTTGTGATTTTTTTTAGGTTTTTATAATAATTGAGCTGTTTAGTTGTATTTTGGTTCAGCTCTGGCTGGTTGATGGTTGGATTGTAGGTTAGTTTACAGATCAACACATTTATTCACTTTACAATTAAAGCAAGACGAAATCCCAGAGGAGGAGGAGGAGGAGGAGGAGGAGGAGGAGGTAGGTTTGAGTCAGTCTGTTCAAGGCGGATATTTCTCTTTACATAACTCATCTGCATTGTCTGTGTCTGCCTGGAACAGCAGGTTGTTGCAGAGGATGAGAAACCAAAACCTGCGGTGGGTGGATCAGTTGACTAGACGTTGGTAGCTAGTCTGTAGGAGTCGTCCCAGAGCTTAGCCTCCTTTAGCTCCTGCTTTTCATGCTGAAACGTTGCTGCCTTGCGTTCTGCTGGTGCTGTTGGTCTTTTCTCATTAGCTGCTGTTGTAGAAACTCATTTTCTGGCAAAACAAAAAACAATCAACGCTCAAAATCCAGATTTTTGAAAAAGAGTTTTTATTTTACGTCTCATCATCATGATAAAATGGCAGTAAACAAAAATAAACAAGTGGCTTGACAAAATAAATAATGTGCAAAAAATAAGAACTTTCCCGACTTATTTGACGATGTAGTGTGATATAAATTAATTTATCAATCAGGAGAGATGGGAATTGATAAGAAAGTGATAGAGATTCCATTATATCAATAAGATTCCTTATTGATTCTCATTGAGTTGGGAAATGGACCATGTTGACAAAACCTGTGACAAAATCTCCCTTTAATCTCCCATATCTTTCTGAGAAGTTACTTCCAAATTAGTTTGTCTTATTTTAAGTGTCCTAATGTATTTGAACAAGAAACTAGACCAAAACTACATGGTAATATTTTGCGTATTTTTGATAATATCCATGTTTTGACCCAATATAAAGTCATTTTTCGTATCTATTGCTGGAGAAAGACGTTCTTTACCTTTTCTCTGCTTTTCTAGCTGAAGATCAGAGCCTTAGCCTGGCAGGCAAGTCCTCCACATATGCAAACATGTAAAACATGACTGCATATCAGCCTTAAAAATACTTTAAAAACCACTGTACAATTATCTGAATGGAAGCAACGACACAAAACCTTTGTGTTGCCTCTTTACTGCAACTCCTAGTTTGAAGGAAGTGAGGAAGAGGAGGAAGTTAAAGAGGAAGGGGAGGAAATGGAGGCCGAGGTTTGTTCCAGTTGAAAGTGGTTTTTAACATCCTCCTTTCTCCAAACTGAAACTAAAACATCCAACATGGTGGAGTTTTGTTGTCTGGTTTTTTCTCATCTGTGAGGATTTCCTCTGTAGATTAGCAGCATTTTCCCTTATTTTCCATAAAAGTGCCACTTTCATTCCCCTTCAGTTGTATTTTTTCATTTTATCACTTTGTTTTGTTCCTTTCCTAAATCCTGTGCGATAGACTGAGCAGGATGAGGTTTAAACATGTCATCTGGGTTTAAATCACCTTCATTTTAAGCAAAAAGTCCAGAAATCATTTGTTCTGCAGCTCCTCCATCTTTTCAGGGCATTTTGACACTTTGTTTGTTTACATCTCTAACACAAAGATGGACGAACCGTTTCAGCAGGTAGGCACAAGCAGAATATCCTGAATTAAATCCTTAATATTCAGTTTCCCACTTAATGTGTGCTTAAAAGGGGCATTTCACCCAAAATGTCTTGTTTTACCTCCAACTTTGTGCCACATAGAGAGAAAATGCATGTGAGGATCATAAGGTGAGTTCATGCAAGTTACAGGAGCTGAACTGTAACATGCATGTTATCATGAGTAGAAATGGGCTGAATATAAATACTAACTACACCAACAGGGTGTTTAACTGAGTCTGACCTGGTAGTAATGCAGCCATAGACTCTCAGGTATTTTGTAATAATTAAACTTTAGAAGTAAGTTAAAGTAGTTTAGCTTCCAGGTTCTCTGGAAACCTTCCCAGTTTTATCCTCCTTCTTTCTTTCTTTCTTTCTTTCTTTCTTTCTTTCTTTCTTTCTTTCTTTCTTTCTTTCTTTCTTTCTCTCTCTTTCTTTCTCTCTCTCTTTCTTTCTTTCTCTCTCTGAAACCACATCGTCTTCTTCTCTCCTCCAGATGGACACGGAGGCCAGCGACCTGCTGAACGACCTGCAGGTTCGGCTCAACAACGTTCTGGACGACCTCAGCAGCACGTTTGGGAACAGGTACTGACCTCACACCGCTCGTTCCCCGTGGCTCCGCCTCCGTCCGAGTCCATCACTCCTTCTTCTTCTCTTCCAGCTTCCAGAGCCGCATCACCGACTGCATGCGACAGATGGCGTCGCTGCTGTATCAGATCAAAGGACCGCTCAACGAAAACACCAAGAACCAGGTGGAGGCCGACTCGGACAACATGCTGCGGCCGCTCATGGACTTCCTGGATGCGCAGTGGGTTCAGTGGGATTCTCCCAAACACGGCTCCTCTGTTGGTGTGTGTAAGTGTGTGTGGATGTCTTGTTTTTGCAGATTAACGCTGTTCGCCACGGTGTGTGAGAAAACGGTGCTGAAGCGCGTCCTGAAGGAGCTGTGGAGGATCGTGATGACCAGCCTGGAGAAGAACATCGTCCTGCCGCAGGGCAACGACACCTTCGTGAGTCTGATGTTCATCTGCTTCACTGCAAAGTCACAGCAGCCACATTCACATCCAATTTCAGTTCATTTTCAAAATGTCCTGAAAAAGTGAGATGAGACATAAGACACAATTTACCAAAGATTTGTGGTGTAAGCAAAAAGTCCAGAAATCAAACAAATTGCTTGATTCACTTGAAATACGACAAAACTAGCTTGAAAGTAACTTTTCAACAAGACAGGAGTTTGTTCTAAGTCAATAATTCCTCAATATTGATGATAAAACACTATTTCCATTGGCAGATTATTTCACCTAAAACAAAATGTTTTTACCATCTCATAAGGGAAATAATTACCAGACTAAAATCTCATTATTTAATGATGAGTTTTGCAAAAAATAAATAAATAATGAACATATTTTAGTGTTTAATATATTAGTATTTTCACATTATATGCAAAACCAAGGAAGAGGAAAGACAAGATATATAAAACAAGCAACCCACCCAATAAATGGCCAACATTCCCTTATGTTCACCTACAAGGTGTGAAGCAGAAAGAACTAAGATCAAACAGGAATCCATGTTTTATTGAGCCACTGCTCAGCCAAAGTGTCCCAGGTCTGCTATTCCTGAGCCTTTATGATCTCTTATCGAAAGAGATCATTAACAATTTCCAAGTTTTATGAAATTTATTCTCAGAGCCTCTCATCACATACCTGATTCTCTCTAGTTTCAGGTTAAGCAGTACGTCTTATGAAGATTGAAACATATTTTGTGTAGCCCTTGCTTGGGTTGCTAGGTGATGGATGGAATTCCACTGAGGTTGCTAGGTAACCTCCACTGAGGTTGCTAGGTGATGGGTGGAATTCCACTGAGGTTGCTAGGTAACCTCCACTGAGGTTGCTAGGTAACAGGCAGTTTATTTCACTTACAACGAAACATTTTCCTTGGTATAAATTAAATAATCAGCCAATGGAACTAGAACTTTTTCATCAATATTATTTATTGACTTAAAACAAACTTTTTGTTCTTCCCAAAGAGTTACTGCCAAGTTAGTTTTGTCTTAAAGTGTATTAAGATATTTCAAAATTCAGATTCAAAAATAGTTTATTGATCCAAAGGGAAATTCAGTGTTGCTGTAATTCATATTGGTCAAATTTGCCATAGAAACTAGACCAAAAATATTTGTTTTTCAGTTTAATTAGCATTTTCTTTTTTACCACATTAGAAAAATTAGCTCAGTTTGTATCACAGCAGGATGGAAACATGGCTGCCGTTTTGAAGTCAGTCAAATCGTTTACGTATTTTCTTAAAAAAATCAAATAAGATGAAGACATTTTGATAATAAATCTATTTTTACTCATCATGATTTGAAATGAAGGCTGTGACATATTCATTCAGTTTAATTATACAATCACACAGAGCAGATGAATACATGTAGCTCACACTGTACTTATGAACATGAACATGAATTGTTCACCAGGTCGTATCTGTTTGTTTTTCCCCATTTCCATCTTTTCTAATCCGATACTTTAAAAACCTTGATTGAACCAAGGCTACTGGAAACCAAAGTTAATCATGACTTTTTCTGTTTTTCCTGAAGGGAGCACAGATTCTTTCTGCTGCAAAAGAATTGGGACACCTTTCCAAACTGAAGGTATCAGGTTGCCCTTGAGTTTCTTTTCTCCTGTGAATTGGTCTAGTCTAAGTCTTGGTTTGGGTTGTTTAGGATCACATGGCAGGAGACGCTAAAAGCCTGACGCCCAGGCAGTGTGCCGTCATGGACGTGGCTCTGGATACCATCAAGGTGAGACCAGAAGCTGGAGCTCTGCAGTTAAATGCCTCTATAATCATAGAGAAAAGTAGAAAATGAAACGATAACCAGACTAAAGTCTCATTTTATAGCAATGATTTTCTAATGAACGTATTTTGGATAACTCATACTTGGGTTGCTAGGTGACGGGCGGAATTCTACTGGGGTTGCTAGGTAACGGGGAGATCATTCCACTTAAAA